TTTTTTTCTCATTTATATGAGTAGGGGTCTTTAAAAAGTTAATAAAGGCTAAAAAAGATCATTAAGATGGGTCCTAATTAAATGCAATTTTACCCTTTCTAGAAGAAAAGATTAGGATACAGATTGCAGATGAAAGAGCATATGAAGACAAAGAAATAAGATAGCCACCTCCAAGACAGAAGCCTCAGAAGTAGCTCTGATGATATATTGAACTTGAACTTCTACTCCTCAGAACTAGGAGGAAATAAATTTCTACTGTTTAAGCCATCTAGCCAATGATACTGTTTCAGAGTCATAATTAATACTGCATATTTTTACATTAAGGAGAAAATATGTAAAAAAGATAGATGAATGAAACAATGTAGAAAGGGGATGATATTTGAAACAGACAAAAAGTGTGATAGAGAGATATATCAAGAGGTATACTCATGAGGAAGAAATTGAAGAAATGTGTTTGTTCAATTTTATCAAAACTACTTTTTACAAGGGAAATTTATAGGCATATCAATACATACACCACATTTCAGTTTCTACATATTGATCTTGAATGTCTAAGGCTAATTTCTAACACTATATTATTGACATAGTCATCAGGAAGTTTGGACTATGGATTCTCCATCACTTTCATGGGTGGACCCACAGGGGCTGCCCTTTTGTCTGGGAGGACATGTCAATTACCTTCACATATATTTAACTAAAACCCATTATCATTACATATATCGCTTTGAGTAGACAATAAGATCAATAATAGTAAATTAAATTTTTCAGTTAAATATACTTTAAAATTTGCAAGACAAAATATTTTGAAAAATAGATAATATTAGAAGTGAGTAGTACCAAAAGAATCAGAAGGACAAATATACAGAAGAATCCAGATGAATGAAGCAATGTAAAAAGGTGATGCTTTTTAAATGAGAACACAGATGTGGTAGAGGGATGTATCAGGAAGTAAAATCATGAGTTAGAAATTGGAGGGTATGTTTATGAAATCTTATGACAACTTTTTTGCAAGAGGAGTTTATAGGCACATGAATGTGTATATAAATATATAATCTAAATAAATTCAGTGATACTTAGTAACTTATATACAATGACAACAAAGAGATATCTAAGGATTTATCAGAAATCAGAATAGAAGCAGAATGTAATAACCAAATGGAAGTAGAGTGAATAATAAGAAAATGTGATACTGATATATATATGTGTGTGTGTATGTATGTATACACACACACACACACATATACACACATATGTGTGTCTATATAGCACATTTGTATGGCATAATTTATATGTATATATTTACATATGAATATTATACTTATATATGCATATTACATATTTATATATGTAATATTGTGCTGAGAGCCATTGCCAAGTAGGAATGAGGCATCGAAATTTCCTTGCCAGCGTACCCCATGTCACTTAGAGGAAGGACTCGTGGAAATGGACTTGCCTTGGACATTTGCAGTGACATTGCATGTATGTTTGAGAAAGGTGACCCTGCTCAAGGACCAGGGTGGATCCCAGTTTGAGGAGGATCCTACTGGATTAGGGCGGATCCAGGTTTAGGGTGTATCCTGCTGGGAATAGGGAGTATCCTGCTCCTTGGGTTTAGGGCGGTTTTAGGTTTAAGGTGTACCCTGCTGGGAATAGGGCGTATCCTGCTGCCTCAGGCATGCCTGCTCCCAGAGTATTTGGGATTTAGAACGTGAATTTCCCCAGAACGTGTTTATAGAGGGCCGGTGTGAGCTCTGGAATAAAGAGTTGCTGTTTGAATCTATAAGGCTGTGAGTGACTTGTGATTTTGTGCCCAGCCAGATTGCGGCAATATTGCATACCATACACATATATGTAATATTTATATATGCATGTAAAACATACATATATGCAATATTTATGTATACATCTATATTAAATATATGTGTAATATCACTATATAATATATATATACATATATTTGCAGTAAAATCAGAATGTAAATTTACATGGTTTATTCACATACATGCATAGGAAACTGAATATAAAAGTACACTATAGCTTGTGTATTGTTATCAGAGGGTCAAAGGAAAATCCAAGCATCTAACTAGTTGGATCAGTATGGACCACTGCATTGAGCTAATATGGTATGGGCCAGAAACTTCATTCTCACAAAAGGGATAAACTCCAGTTGGATTACTTGATGAAATTATACATAGTTATTAACAATATATAGGTTATTTATATTTGTAATCTTAAATACTAGCATGATTTTTCTTGTCATGCACTAATATTTAATTATGCTTTGAGAACTTCAAAATCACTCATTAAAATACTAAATGCTGGGCACAGTGGCACACTCCTATAATCCCAGCGGCTCAGGGGGCTGAGGCAGGAGCAATTTAGCAAGCCCCTAAGCAGCTCAGTGAGGCACTGTCTCTAAATAAAATATAAAAAAGGGACTGAGGACGTGGCTCAGGTTAAGGGCCCCTCAGTTCAACCCATCATTCCAAAAACAAAACAAAACAAACCCAAAACAAACAAACATGCTACATGCAAAATAGAGACATTTTCTCCCTTTTAAAATTTATTTTCCACATTACTAATTTATGCTTAGTAATCTATTACCTAGACAGATATGTCATTACTATCTGAATTAATACTTTTGGAGAAAAACAACCTCACTATTTATCAAAATGTATGAAAAACATTTTCTGTATTTTTAAATAATAGCACTTGGCATCAGTGAGAGATTCTAAATTTCCAAGTTCTCTAACTTCTCTTCTGTTTTCTTCTTTTTCTTACAGAAGTTTGACCTCTCTGTCTTGCAGGTGAAGATATTTTGACTTCAGAATGAACAAGAGGGTATTATAATTCTCTGCAGGCACTGAATCTCTAGCCATTGATCTGTGTGTCATTTCAACAGACTTTCAGGCAGAGCAATGTTACAGTCTGGCAGCAGATCATGAAGGCCTGAAGAAACCTCCTATTCTGATTAATAAAAGAAAGTAAATACTTCAAATTTGTTTATTTTACGTGAAAGGTAGCCTGTGGTTGAACATATACATGTATTACCTTTTGAAAATCAACAAAAATATTTAGTTTGATTCCAATAACATTTGAAATCATGGATTCATATATCAGACATTGAATTAAAGAGGAAAAAGAGCATTGGAGTATAAACACTGAAAAATGATGTAAAACGAAGAAAGCAGTGGCGGGGGTGCATAAAACAGACACTTGAGAAATTTTTCAGGCATGATTCTTTGTCTTCTTGAACTCTGATTTAAAGGTTGCTTAGCAACAGTGGCAGTAACAGCTGGGACACCCTTGATCTTGTTGTGTAAACTATTAAAAATAGGTGATGGAAAGTGGCACCATGGAAACAATGACTCTACTGAAGCAGGTGTCTGTAATGCTGCTTTGCAATCTAATGTTAGAGGCGTAAATTACAAAAGGCAGAAAAATGAAGTAACCATGGCTTTCATTCTCCTAATCTTTGAGTATGGTGAAAGGTATTTATTTTCCCCGTCTATATTTTCCTTCAGTTTCCCAAGCCTTTTGGTGTAATCAGTTGTTGATAATTTTAACTGATTACTTGATATTAAATTTTTATTTCCAAATTTCAAAAATCATTCCATTTTTTTTGAGCAACCAAAGACTCATCAAATCTAGATTCCACATATTCACTTAAACACAAATCAGTATCAAGTGCTATGTCAATGTTATTGTACATGCATCTTCAGTTTTCTCATTTATGAACATTACTTTTCAAATACCAGTCATCTTGCATTTATTTATTTTAGATTAAAGTGAGTTTGAATGTAATTTCAAATTAATTAGAATCATCTGAAGTTTTCCTTGTATTTGGCTTTACAATTAAATATTTTTAATAAAAATCATATAAAAATGCACTATTTCCTATTTTTCACAGACTTTCTTGGTTTTGTGGGATACCCACACCTGGTAACCTACAGGCCATTGTAAACCACAGTATTGACTGAGGTGAAGGGGACTCTTTTTCCAACAGTGTCAATTAAATTAAACATTTCTTGCCCTTCAAGTGAATTTTTCTGTTCTACGCATTCCATTGAAGCACCCTTAAAGAAGTATAGATATTAAGAGATTTCATAATTAGGGAATTTAATCAAAATTAAAAATAACAGGAATGGTCTCTAAGACCAATTCTACCCTATTTCATACACAAGGAACAGAAGATCAAACAGATACAAACCTCAGTTATGGGTAGAGACTATAATTATTAAGATAAAGTATGAGTTAGTGATAAAGCTAAGATTTGGGATTTCTATTCCAGAGTTCTTTACATTGCATTAAAAAGCTCAAAATTCCACCAAAAATTTTGACAACTTGGGAAGATTTTATTACTGAATAATATTTGAGTAATAATAAGTTACAAGAGCATTTCTGCACATTTAAGTTTTACAAACTCATACATTAATCTTTGTCTTCATAAAACTCTTAGAAACAAATATCAGCCATATAAATAAAATACTATTAACATCAGATGCAAATATTAGATAATCCATTGACTCTAAATTGAAGAAAATCATAAAGCAGTAAAGAGTCTTTAACTCTCTCATCTGCTCACCTACAAGTTTGGAGGCATGTAGATATGGTTGATCTTGGTATCTACAGAGTGATATAAAAATAATTCTCTATTAGAAGATGTTTGGAGTCAGGTTCAGTGATTCAGTGGCAGGAATCAAAGCACATGGTTTCTTCTCACAGAAAAGGGGACAGATAATGAAAAATGGAATTATGGCATTTACAGGAAAAGACCTAGAGCTAGAGACTGTTCATGTTAAACAAAATTAGTCAAATTCAAAAGATTAAGGTTCTTATGTTTTCTCTCACATGTGGAAACAGTAGAGAAAAAAGGAAACCAATGATGGGAGTTGATTTTCTAAAAATCAAAGTAAGATCAATGTAAGAAAGGACTCAAGTGATGGGAGGTTGGGAGGAAGGGGTGAAATTCAGGGAAATGATATTGGTCAGATTATATTGTTGTATAGTATGCATGCATAACTATGTAACAACAGATCCCACCAATATGTACAACTGTAATGCACTAACAAAAAATGTAGAAGAAAAAGAAAGGAGAAATAAATTATTGCTTATGATTATGGCTTTTGTTTTCCATATAAAATGCATTAAAAAAGCTAATAGAAATAAAATTTATTAAAGTTGCCACATAAAATATTAATATGTAAAGTGAAATAATTTCCATAAACATGATTAAAAGTGAAATTGAAATAAAAATAATATACTTTTCAAAATAATGTATAAAATATGGACCACAACAAACTTAGTCCTTAGAAAACTACTGAACATTACTAAAGATCATTAAATAAGTCATAAAAATGAAAATAAAATGCAATTTTTATATAAAATATGTCTCAATACTATAAAGAGAGCAATAAATAATAGTATGTGAAATTAATGATAGTAATAATATTCAAATAGAAAGTAAAGGAAAGCAGTCTTGTCTCTCAATATTACCATGCACTTGAAAAAATATCAGTGGCTCATCTAACTGTTCATATATTGAAGGGAAACTTTTTCTTAGGTTTTGAAATATTGTTATATTATATAATTCAATGCTTGAGGAAAAATTAAAAATTTTCTAGGAATATTTTAGTTGTACTAACTAAACTTTTGTACTAAACTACTATATCATATGGAAGAGTAGATGATAAGCAAAATAGTAATCTTAATAATCCCAGTGTTATTAAGTATTAAAGCACACAATTTGTTTTTAAATGAAGTGACTTTATTCACTGATTTACTTCCATAGTGAGAAGCATTGGTTAGTAACTGAATAGGGAACCAGTTAGGCTTAATCATCCCTGGATTCATATTCTTCAATGTCATCCTCAGGAACAGTGTTGTAATTACAGTACTACCTCCTCTGTTTCTTAGGATGACTAAATCAGTAATAAATATGAACCTCATAGGAGAGTGACAGAAGCCATCCTTGGGTGGGCTGACTATGATGATCCTGGTTCATATTCTGCTGCTGGTCTTGACCAAGTTCCAGGTGCTCCCTTCAGTAACCCTTGAAATGTTTTGGTCAACAAATGAGGCCTACTGTAATAAAATCAAAATGTCCCTGTGGTTTAAACTCCAAATAATCATTTTGTTGAAACAGGGGCAATTCTACATATAAAATATATGCCTTCAGTCTAATCCTACCCCCCAAATGATTTAAAATTAAGTTTTTACCCTTTTAATTTGCCTAAAAGTCAATGAATTCGTATTAATTAGCTTTTGTTAGAAAACAAGATTGGTGAATTACTAATAATTAAATGGTTTCATACCAATTTTACCAGTTTTTCCAATAATGCTTTTCCTCTGGTCCAATATCTAATCCTGGGCACTATATTGCTTTTAGTCCTCATTTCTCCTTAATGTCCTGTGGCAAATTCTTAGTTATTTCTTTTTTTTAATAACTTTGGAGTTTTGAAGAGTACTTATATTGTTTTCTGTAGAATGTTCTAGTTATAAATAAATTTTATCTGACTGATGATATCATCATCTGTGCTCTATTCTTTCCTTTTTTTCTTGAATCTTAATAATAAACTATAATTAAATTATTACTTTTGCGATTTTAATGTTGGCTTGATATATTGTACCACACATTACAATTGCTTAGTGCACCTTTGAACTCTGTCTATCCTGTGTCATCAAGCTACACACAGAACAAGTCTTCCTCCTCCTTCCTCTTGCTTTCTTTCTTGGGGATCTGTGCTTTTGTTCATTGCATGCCCATCAGGTCTGCTCAGCTCTGCTGGTACATGTGCATATCTCACCTATCCTCTCCCACCATAGGACAAGAGTTCATGGAAATAAAAGTACCACCTTCCATGTTTCAGAGAGAAAATTTCTAGTTATATTGTATGTTCTGTTCCACTGCTTTCAATTCCATTTCATTCTATTTTCAAGCATACTTCATGGTTTTGTTTGTTTCTTTTTGTTATTGTTGTTGTTCTTCTTTTTTTTTGTGTGTGTGTGTGTGTGTGTGTTTTTTCCTCAGAGGATCAGGCCCCAGTGTTTCAAAGTGCTAATCAGTTCCAAAAACATTCTTTGGGTTTTCTTCTCTTTGTGGTTAAATATAGTTCCCTTGGTACTGAATATTTTGGTGGGGGGTTGGTTTCATTAATCCAATCTTAGAGTAAAACTAAATGATTTACAATTAATATCTTCCCAAATGTTATAAGGATCCTAGTTGGCTAGTGCCCAGGTTATTCCAATCATTCAGTCTAACATTTTGATCTCTCCTTTGCAAACATTGGAGGAAGAGTGATAAGAGGCAGCGGACAGGGAGATCTAATGCTTTATAATGCTGTTAATTTCCTTAACAGGCAAACAGAGTGAACATGAAAATATTAAGAGACTTGACTACTGAACTTAATTAAACACAATGAAATCTCTCAAGCCCATAAAGTAAAATAAAATAAAACAATAAGAAAGAAAATCTCAGTACACATTTTTATCTAATCTTGGGCTATACAATTAAAACAAAAGAACTGTAGATCAGGAAGATAAACTTTGGATCTTCATTCTCAATAGTATTTTGTATTTGCACCATATAAATGTTGCAGAAAGCAGAATCCTACCCAAGTATTCTGACAAACACAGGCCTCCTTGTATTTTGCAATTCAAAGAGCTTACTATGGCATAAATAGGAATACAAACTGGAATTTAGGAAAATGTTAAATAATTGCAAATTATTTTCTATAGAAGAGAAAGTAGAAAACAAAGGTATACTTTTCCCCACTATTATGTACTATAATACTCAATGCTCATTTAGTTATAGGAAGCCTCTTTCTCACTCTGTATGAGGCACTATGGTGGACCTTGGGTACAAGATGGTATAGACCTTGGGTATAGAACACACATCATCACTGAGATCAGGATGTACAATTCAAAGAAACACTAAGGAGTTGAGAGCTCAAATCATTCATACTTATGAAAGGCAATATATAGATGAAGGAATAAATTAGAATAATATGAAAGAAAATTATCGGAATTTGCTTATATTTAAGTTAGGCAGTAACAGAAGAGTTCTATTAAAGATTTAAGCTGATATGTGAAGGATGTTTGACTTTTTGGATGAAGAGAAAAACAGGAACTGAAAATGAGTGAAGGGAATCTGAGAAGGAGAAGTTTAAGACATTTGGATAAAGAGTGGTCACTAAAAATACTTTACAATTCCTAGAGAGTATTAAGCATTTTAGGGATTACTGAGAGCTGGGTGTTCGACTGATAATGAATTTTAATCTATTCAATGGAATGAGATAATAAATTTGTTATGAAGAAAGAAAATAAAAAATACCAGAGTTATAACTGTATGTCAAACCATCTTATGATTATAGAAAAAATTTGCTTATATAAAAGATTTAGGATTTGTTTTGCTTAAGGAAAGGATAACTTTAAAGTAGAATTTACAATCACAATTAGATTGTAGAAGTTTCACTACCTCAGAATAGCTTATTGGATGGATATTCATAATATCATAAATACGTTCAATATTTGGCAAAATTATGAAATATTAGCTTTAAGAAACTAATATTTAAGAATAATCATGTGATTATTCTTCAGTGTATTATAT